GGTGCGGAAAATAGCCGGCTTTTAGTGCTAAAAGTCTTATAAACAACCTATAAATAATTTTATAATACTCCAGCGAAAGCGAAGACTCGGATGTATCTAGAATTAGGAGACATTAAAAAATATGAAATTAAAGCTCAATTGAAGGCATATCTTAAAGAAAAACGAGCTCATCTCGGTGGTGGAAAAGTAAACTAAAATACGACAAATTGACAGATCTGGCCCGCAAATATTTGAGCGCTCCACCCGCCAGCGTTCCAAGTGAGCAATTGTTCAGTGCAGCCGGCCTCTAAGAAATCGCCTCATGGGAGAAAAGACAGCAAAATTATTTTTTTTGAAATACAATATGCCCCTTTTGAACTTTGACTACTACACTGTATTGGTTAAGCACTCGTTCAATGTTCTAATAACTTACAAAATTTGTAAGTAATAAAAACGATGTTATTCCTAACATTCGTTTTCGCACATTCGCATTCGCATTCGTGATTGTAGAAAATATGACATTCAAAACATCCCTACTTACAACTATCTCTTAAAAAGAAATAAGATTATTGAGGATCGTGGGAGCGTGTTAATGCCCACTTATAACTAAATAACGTTATATCATTAAGTCTAACTGAACATACTATGTTTGAAATAAGGGGACAGTAGTTTTTCGAAATACTGAAAAACTATATTTAATAAGTGCGCCGGGTATTTAATGTTCGGCTTCGCCCGAATTTAGACGTTTTTACTTGTTATCATTTAATTTTATATGCTTCTTTATAAAACTATAATTCATTCGATAACATAAATTATATAAATGAAGGCGCTGTGCATTTTCCTCCATGGGTCATTCCATTGAAAAGAGAAAAACGACATAAATTTAAATATGCCCTAATTATCTCCATTTCAGTAGTAACCTCTTTTTAAATGACTACATTTCATTAACCTGAGGGAAAATATTAAAAAAAAATCAAAAGAAGTTATAATTTTTGTCTAAGGAAACTTTTATTTCATGCGTAATTACTTTACACCAGTCTCAAGGAGATGTCCCACCAGTCACAACTTTAAATATTTTTTAATATATCTATGAAGATTATATAAACCTTATTTTTATTGAAAACATCGTTCGTGAAAATTAAGTGTTTTGGATAAAATTCATCTTTGAGATCACAAGGGTAAAATAGAGTTCTCAGTTCAGTATTCCACCGGTCACATTCATTCAAATTATAGTTACATAAAACTAAGAAATCGTTTGGTATTTTTGTTAAAGCAATTTTATACATTAGTTGTCGTTCTATGTTAAAAAATATCTTTTGCTGTTGTATAAGCTCCGACGACCATAGTTAAAATTGATCACGTTCTGGAGTAAAATGTCCCACTAGACTCAATGGAATGGCCCCCATATAAAAAACTTGTCGAGCACATATTGTATGAAAGAAAATGAGTGACACAGTCCGACAAACAAAAAATGCAACAAATCAACGGTATTTTGTACCCACTTCAAACTTGCACTTTATTATACTGGAATTGAATTTACTATAAAAAATAATTTAAATTTTGATGCTACTTCTTTTTGTGATTTTTATTGAAATGGGATATATTTTTATAAAAAATAATTAAATTTAATTAATAAAAAAAAAATATTCAAAACTGGTCAATAAATATGTCGTATAGATATGATAAGCACTGTAGCTGGTTTTTGTTTGAAATGAACTTCATTCAACACCTACTGTCAATTAAGAAGTACTAGCGTGCCCGGCGAACTTCGTTGCGCCCAAAATTAATTTTTTGTTGGATCATTTCGGTACAACACAGACAACAGAGACAAACTCAAAAAAAATACAGCTCACATAGGGCAATCCATTCTACAGCTATGCTCGGTATTAATGAGCAACAGTTGGTAACCCTCTTCAAATGTATTACTTCTGATTAAGAAAGCATTTAAATGCCTTGCATTCCCTGTTGGCGTTGAAATATTTTACTCGATATACATATATCGTCATCTGAAATGCAAAAAGACGTAACAAACATCGTCACTGAAATGGAAAAAGTCGTGACTGTTATTTTTTTCCATTAAACGATGTGGGGAATTGTAATTCGATGAAATCCACCATACCAAACAAAAAGTTAATTTTGAATTTTGTTTTAGTTACGACTTTTTGGAATTCAGTTACTATGTTTGTTAGGCCTTTTTGCATTTCAGGTGGCGATATGTAAGGCACTAAAATTTTAAGCAGGTGGCAACCCTATTAAAAAGTTTTTTATTTTTTACCTCAACCGGCGAAGCTGTCCTTCAAAATGATGTTTGAATCATTCAATTTTATGCAGTATTATGGAAGATTTGGCCTTTATTGACCGGATACAGTGATATCAGATTTTTAAAATCCCTTTTTTAAATAATCACTAAACTTGAACAACTTGAGTATTTTTCGCATGTACATTAGACTGTATCACTCCCCATACAAAAAAAATCGGCACTGTTTCCATTAGAATTATAAAATCTATTTTATTTTAAGACGTCCACCAAAATATTTCGAAAAAAATATTAAGATTTAAGTGAAAATACCTACAAAGATGGAGTTTTTTATGAATAAAAATAGTTTCTTAAAGATTTTTTTTTTTT